TGGATGAAGTAATATGTGATCAAACCCTCAAAAAAATAGGCAGAATTTAGAAGTGGTAGACTTTGGAAGAGAAAGGCAGGGAAACAGCATTCCAGAAAAGCACAGTATGAGAAAAATCAACCCTTCATAATGCAACGCAAAACAGACATATTATTTAACAGCCCAAATGGCATAAAATATGCCATGCTTCAGTATTCATGTGAGAATATCAGTTTAAAAAGAATAATATGCCTTTTCCTTTAAAATAAATTTTATGGTATGAATACATACAGAAAATATTATATATATTTTTCAATGTAGCATTAAGAACGCAGTTCATGTTTGTGCTCTTTATCTAAGCTCTTATATAACAACTGAAGTTCCTCAGACTTAAAAAAATCCAGAAGTTTGAGAATTAGTGAAGCAAGCAATAGCCAATTTATAAAATAATTTAATCTACCTGTTTAGTTCTCACAGGTAACCACGGGCATAATAAAATTTCCTGTAATACTTAAATTTCATGAAATGTCACTAGGTCCAGATAACCTCAAAGACATTTCTGTTTAATCACAGCAGATTAATAATTAAGCAACCTAATTCCCTGTGATAATCTTATTACTGATGTAAATCGATACTAATTTTATTCAAACTGTATTTTCATTGCAGAAATTTAAAGTTAGGAAATACCTTAAATTCAATACCTAAACTGAATAAATGATCTTTCATTCCCCATCCACCCTAATATTTAAGTAACTGTCAATCATCACAATGATTCATCCCATGGATGACACGGTGTAATGGAATGAGCACTACAATGGATGTCAGAAGATTAGATTCCACCAGTGCCCAAATTACAACAATTTAGGCAAATCATTTCTGTGACCCTCAGTTCATTCACCAGTAAACAAGACTACAGATGGTATTCATAGGAACCAACTTACATTTGTTTGACTTATGACTTTTTCCTATTATATGATGGTGTGAAAGTAATATGTTCAGTAGAAACCATAATTCGAATTTTAAATTTTAATCTTTTCCTGGGCTAGCGAGCGATATGCATGCAATACAATACTCTCTTGTGATCCTGGACAGCTGCAATGAGCCGCAGTCAGCTACATGATCAAGAGAGTAAAGAACTGATACACCATGTTGCCAGAGTATTTTGGATATTATGTTTTGTGTTTTTGCATCCCATCATGTCTACAAAATTCTCATCTGTGTCTCCAGCTTCTGGTGAGAAGAAGAAGCCAATTTATTTAAGATGAAATTCAAGATAACTGCCTAACTATAAGTTAGTGTTAAGTGCTTTGAGCATGTTTAAGGTAGGGCAAGGCTACAATGTTCGACACTCCGTAGGTTAGGTGTACTCAGTGCATTTTCAACATATCATTTTTTTCAACTTAAAGAGGGGTTTGTCAGGACATAACCCCATCGAGAAGCATCTGTAGATAATTGAGAAGCATTTATAATCTATATACCTCTACATTCTATAATTCTATAAACTAGCATTTTAACTAATTTATATATTTGATACATTTACTTAATTTTTTTTATGGTAGATTTTTTTGAGTAAAAGTAACAGCAGCACACATGAAAGAATCAAACTAAAGAACTCCATAGGAACATTAACATGGCTTTGTATAGTCTCACCTTCAAATGCAAAGATGACTCAGAAAAAAAAAAAGTAACTTGTATCTGAAGACTATCCAAGTAATATTTGACCACACAAGCTTCTGGTATAGAAAAAAATGGTATTAGAATAGTAAAAATGTTCAAGAACACCACCACCACAAGAATACCAAAATATAAAACAGAAGCTCTATATACAGTCATTGCTACATGACAGAAGCTTTTCATAGCTTTTGAGTACTCCTAGTAAGCCCTGATAGAAAAAAAAAAAAGAAATGTTTTCTTAACCATCGATATATATAAATGTACGTTTGCATTCTCAAACTTGAAAACAAAATATCAGGCAATCTACAGACTGAGTTATTTACACAAATACTGATCTGCTCAACTTTATACCTTTATAGCATTTAGCAATGTGCCCTGAACATAACGGCACTTACCAGTGGTCAAACAAGTGAATGAACTATACATGAATTTCTAACAAATAAATCCACACATAATAAATTATAATAAACTTTTACTACTTCTTTGTACTATATTCTAGTAAAATCCAATATATGAAGTAAAAGAACAAATGAGAGTAACTAAATATGTGAGACTTGTATCACTCTCAGGCATCAATAAGAATTTGAAATTGCAATTAAGACAGATCACAAAATACAATTAAAACTGAATAACAAAACACAAAAAACTGAGTAACAAATAGCCTGACATTTACCTACATCAACCTCTTGTCTATTCAAAGGCCTTTGCTTTCAAGAACAGACAGCAATAGCAAGAAAATCTTAGTACTTCACAAATTTAAAAAAAAAAAAAAAAAAAACTTAAAAAATCTAGACTGATCTAAATATACCTAGCCTTGGAACAAACTTTTACTCAATTAAATTCAAAGAAACCTAAGTTAATTTCAAGCATTTTGTGTTTTTTTTAAATTATGTGGGCAGGACAAATACTTAAGTTTTACTGTCTGATTAAATTCAACAGGACATCCAACTAAAATATATATATTCTTTAGAGACCATGGAGAGAATCACAGCTATATAGCTATGTCGCAGCAGACAAGTATATTCAGGTAAGCTGTAATGTAAACATATTCTTCTAATTAGAATACAATGTTTATTCATTAAACAAATATTTGCAGTGTCAATATCCAACACAGAAAATAAAATCCTACATGATGCCATCAATGTAAAGATAAAATCAGATACCCTGTGCTCAAGAGGAGATAAAACAGGTATATAAACACCAAAAAAGCAAGGTAGAAAGTGTAAATGCCATGAGAGATGTGCAAATAAAGCATTTTATAAGTGCTGAGAGAGCTGTTACTACCTCACAGAAATATAACCCTTTCAATCTGTTTAATTTCAGAACTATTAACTCTCTTAGGCTCACAACAGCTAACCCCAACAGAGCAGATGTTTTTCTACTATCACAGGCTAGGAAACTGAAGCAGAGAAAGGTTGATCATGTTCCAAAACGTCACATAGTTAAAGGAAGAATCAGGACTCTTAGTATTATATTTTCTCTGGGGAAGTAGTTCAACATATGGCAAGCCTTTTGTAAAAGGAAAGAGCATTTTATTTTGGTATTGCAAGTAATCACATCCATATGTATGCATGTGCACATTATATAAACGTGTGTTAACCTTGATTTCTATTAACATGTGTGCTTAAAGCAAGGCAAAGCAACCGTGTACTATAAATATTAAAATAACTAAATAAACTTCCACTGGATTTTAACACAATGAGAAAATAAAGACATTTCTTTTTCCAACAACTTGTGGTTATTTCTTCCGTAATTTTACCCACGTCTAAATAAATTCTAAAAATGGTCTCCTGAGCCCAGGTAAATTGGGCTTTTGGTTCATCCAATAAGTATCTTTATGAAAAGGTACATCAAAACAGTTTCAAAAAAGCATTAAAAATTAAATAATGCCATCAACTCTTCAGTTATCCAAGGACAATCACGTGTGACTCATGAGCTACAGCTAATGATCAAGATCTGGTGAACGAATGAATGAATGTTTGTAGTATTTTAAAATCCCCGGCCTGTTGCTCTTTGCACAATGTTCCGCACCTCCCATCATTGCCTCACCGGAATGCACACAAGAAATGTAAATTTCAATATAATTAGGATACGATTAAGGAAACAAATCTGATGCAGGTGAATACACTAATCCTCCAAATTAGAATTACCCAAACCACTACTCCACAAGGTTAATTCTGTTGAAGAGGCACTGAGGTATGCAACATCAGTAAAAGAAAAAACAAACAAAAAAACAAACTGACACTTCCTAAGGAAATACTGTTCATAAATATCATTTATTCCTATCCACACCTTTAATACACGACTATACCTAATGCAGTTAATTTGAAGAATTCAAATTCAGTCTCCACTCCAATAAAACTAATTTCTCAATTATAGTTCCTCTAATCCCTCTCCCACCAAAAAACTCCCCAACTTCGCACATTAAAACACCAATAATAAAAGGCAGAAAATACAAGGTTCCGATCTTTGCCATCTCCACCTCTTCCCACCCTTCGCCATTACTCTCCGGAGTGGTTTGGTTAAAAAGGTGAACTAGTTTGCTCCTCTCGCACTTGTCCATGGCTGTCACCCTCCCTAACCCTTTCTACACTCCCAACACGGTTACCAACTCCGCTTCAGAGTGAGCCAGGCTCGCCACCTGTGCGGGCCCCACCCGGGGTTTCCAGGCCCACTCTGCCTCCCTCGGTCAGTCCTGCCGGTTCCGCACGCCCCCTCCCCACGGGACACTTCTCTGCCGGCACCGGCCTGGCCGCAGCCCATTCTTCCTCCCAACTCCATAAGCCTCCTTTACTCGCCCAACCTGAGCTTCCCGCCGGGCCCGACTTGTCCAGGGCGGCCGAGGGGAAGAAGCCGGATGGCTGGGGCGGGTCCCGACCTGCCAGGCCCGTGACGGCCCTCGCCCGGCCATGAAGCCGCGCCCGCGGCGTGTGCCCTAAGAGCTCTCCCAAGCCCCCGACCGAGCGAGGGCCCAGAGGCCGGGGCTTTGGGTGTCGGGGCCTACTCACCGGGAGCTGGCGGAGCGTGGTAGCCGGCGCGCCCGGAGCCTGAGGAGCGGGACACGGCCCCGGCGCGCGTCCCCACCTCGGGACCTCGGTCGGCGCGGCGAGCTGGGCGCTCACTACAGCCACCGCCGTCGCGGCTGCGGCTGCATCGCCACCTTGGCCGCCATCTTGCCTCAACCCCTCTCCCTCCCCCCAGCCCCGGCGGCCGCGGCTTAGGCGGCTCCAGCGCCAGCTCCTCCTTCTTCCGGAAGGTTGGGGGACAGTCTCCCTCCGCTGGCCGGGTGCGGCTGCTAACACTGTCGAGCTTCCTGGGTCACCCCACGCCTTATCCCCTCACTTTTCCCTACGGCCTGGAAGCGCCGGTGCTTTCAAGCGGAGGTAGCACTGAGCCTGGCTGGACTCAGTGCGCTGCCATTGGGTGCCCAAGCTGGGTCGCCCACCTCGAGCCTGCCGACTCCCCAGCGCCAGGGGCCTTCCCCCGAGCGTTGGAAAGGAAGGACACAAGGCCATGCCTCGGCCCACTCGACCCCTCAGCGACGCGAGGCGGCTTGGCGGGATGGCGGTGACTTCCAAAGGTGCCCGGGCTGCAGGAAGGGAAGTTGGTTCCCACGTGCTGGGAGCGGGAGGGGTGGACGTCGACCTACCCAAGATATTTTCCAAGGCTCCGGCTGTAATTCGTTCCAAGACTTCGCTGAAATGCCGGCAGAGCCTGTCTGTCCAAGATGTCGGTCTTTTAAAGTCACTCCTCAAATGAGCCTGTGGCCCTTGCGACTACAAAGTGAGCTTTCAGCCTTACTCTTCTAATGAAATGACTGGACGGTCCATCGTAATGGCATACTTTTCTTTAAAGAAGCCACCACGCCACAAAAATCAAGAAAAAACAAAGTCGGCGTTTATCCGGATAAGGGGCTGTCTAACCGTATAATTACGAGAAAGTCCCAGGTTTTAAGAAACGAGTTATAAAACGTTGAAGAAAGGAGGGAACCCGTACACAATATTTGGGCGTTTATTTTAAAACCCTTTCCTTTAAATCCATTGTACTGTGAGGGCAAGGGTAAAAAGTGGGACGGGAAGCGGTTCTGTTCAGCTCTGAAACCTAGCTGGCACACACCTCGTAAGTGCTGCATAGAGAGAAGTCGATAAAGAAGTTGGGAGGCGTCAGTGTAAAACCACAGCAGGAACCCGACGTTTAAAGCCTCAAGCCATGGGAGCAGGTTGGCAGGACAGATTTTAACTCGGAACGGAATTTCCTCGAGTGCAGTTTTCTTGCCGGAGTCAGGGTCAGCTGCACCTTTCCCTATTGCGCAGGCGCAGTGCCACTTACAAACCATGGAAGCGGTAGGTATACTGTGTTTAGCTGTGGTGGTCCTAACATGGGGCTTCTTCTGGGTTTGGGATTCCTCAGAACGAATGAAGAGTCAGGAGCAGGCTGACCTCTTGGGAGGCGGAAGCCATACCCTCTTGGTGATCGCGCACCCCGACGATGAAGCCATGTTCTTTGCTCCCACGGTGCTAGGTTTGGCCCGCCTGAGGCACCGGGTGTTCCTGCTCTGCTTCTCTGCAGGTAGGAGGCTGCTGGAGGGGTGTTGGGAGCCGGAGCTATGAAGGATATTTAGGTGCTAACCTATCTCAGTCGACTTTTCCCCAAAGGATTCTCAGTTGTTGAGAGTTAAGTGAATACATCAAAGGTCCCTTCTCTGGACTCTTCACGGAGAATTGGTGGCTCCAGCCTAGGGACTGTAGTGCAGCTTACAGGGTAGGTTGCGGGAGGTTCCCAGCTTGCGTACGCCACTCTCTGCTGGCAGGATTGAGAAGCACAAAAAAACTGCTCACATTTGACTCCATTTAATACCTTCATTTCCGTTGGGAACTGGGACTATACTCTGTAGAATCTTTATTTGCGGCAAGACCAAAAATAATCTTAACATAGTACACCAAACAATCTGAACTGTATCGTGCTAACTCAACCCTTAAAGCTTTACTTCTAAAGGTAGCAAAAGACCTTCCTGCTGCTTTTAAAATCCATTTTGTGCCGAAAAGATGTAAATGTCAAATTGAAGAGGTGGACTAGGATCCTTAGACTAGAAAATAATTTTATAGGGAATTTTATAGTTCAACACCACCTTACTTTTAGTGAAGGGGCCTTTCAAAAAATAAGCCCTTCTTTACCGTACGGAAAAAGATAGAATGAGAAAACAAAAATTGACCATGATAAAGGATTATGGTGATGACAGCTCGAGTGTATAAATGAAGTAATTGAACCGTACATGTACAATTGGTGAATTTTATGGTATCTAAAATTATACCTCAGTAAAGCTGTTTTTAACAAATATGACCATGATCTCTTTTCCCATTTGGTTGTGTGTCATTCCATTTCTTTTTCTATACAGATTTTTTTCAAAGAATCACATTTTATATAATTTTATATTTTCACTGAACGTTATTTTTTCATTCATTTAGCAAATCTTTATTAAAAATTTATGTGCAGTACATACTATTAGAATGGCCAAAATCCGGAACATTGACAACACCAAATGCTAGTGAGGATATGCAGCAAGAACTCTCATTTATCAATGGTAGGAATTCAAAATGGTTCAGCCTCTTTGGTGGAAGGCAGTTAGGTTGGCAGTCTCTTACAAACTTGAACATACTTTTACCAAACCATCCAGCATTTGCCCTACTTTGTATTTACCCAAAGGAATTTAAAACATGTCCACACAAAAACGTGCATACAGGCATTTATAGCAGCTTTATCCATACAAAACTTGGAAGCACTTAAGATGTCCTTCAGTAAGTAACTGGATAAATAAATCAGTGCATCCAGGCAATAGAATATTAGTCAGTGCTAAAGAGAAATGAGCTAGCAAGACATGAAAAGTCATAAAGGAAAAACTAAGTGAATATTACTAAATGAAGCCAATTTGAAAAGGTTACATACTGTACGATTGCAACTACATATACTCTGGAAAATGCACAGCTAGGGAAACAGTAAAAACAGTGATTTGCAGAGGTTGAGGTAGGAGGAAGGATGAATGTGGAGCACAGGGGATTTTTTAGGGCAGTGAAAATACTCTGTATAAAATTATAATGATGGATGTATGTTATTATACATTGTCCAAACCCAGAGAATGAACAACACCAGGAGTGAATGCTAATGTGACCTATGGGCTTTAGGTAATAATGATGTAAAGTCATCAATTATAACAAATATACCATTCTGATGGGGAATGTTGATAATGGGGAAGGCTATGCATGTGTGGGGACTGGGGATAAACGGGAAAATCTGTGTACCTTCCCTTCAGTTTTGCTGTGAACCTATAACTGCTCTACAAAAATAAAATTTTAATTCTAAAAATTTTTAATTAAAAAAACTTATATGCTAGTCCTTGTTCTATGCTTCAGGAATAAAAGTGAAAACAAGCTAGGTGAGGACTATGTCCTTGTGAAACTTATAATTTAAACATTAATAATATTTAGATATATAGCCTTTTAAATGGTTTCAGAGAGAAACCTTAATTTAGTCATCCCTTATTGTATGTGTTTAAGGGTGGGGTTTTTTTCCCCAATTTATCTCTATGACAATAACAGTGAACATCTTTATGTATTTCATTAGGACTGATTTCTAAATTTGGCTGCTTTCGGGCTTTTCATGCAAATTGCATACCCAGAAACATCAATTTACATTCTCTCTCAATATTCTCCCTCTCTTTGTCTCAATGTACCTCTCTAGCATTGACTAGCATGTTTTTATACTATTTCTTGATTTAATTAACACTTTTTTCACTCAAAATCATTTGTTGCTGGTAAGATTAAACCATTTTCATATTTAATGAGAATTTGTGTGTAAGCACTTTTCTTAGTTTGTGCTATGAAGGATATCAATTGCAAATGGATGCAGTTCAAGTCCTCAATTTTTTTTTTGTTTGCTTTTCATTTTATGTTTTATACTACAAATATAGGAGTCAAATTATTAGCAAATTTGTTTCAAGATCTGCAAGAGAAGCCTCAGTTTTATTTCCAAAGTATAGGTGCACTGGGTTCTTTAATATCTCATTTTTTTAATAGGTTGGGACAAGAAATCAGAACCCTTTCAAATTTTAAAAAGTATGTCCTTGGCACATATTAAACACTCAGTATCTTTAATGTTGTCTTTCATTATTTCCTCTGAATCCAGTTTTCCATTTAAATTGTTCTTCCTTATAAATATTAAAATTATTTTTAAAACCCTAGTACATTCAAAGCTGTGGATTAAACATTACACCGCTGACTTCTAATGTGAAAAATGGGAAGATAATAATTTGTCATACATTATACTGAAAGCTGTAATGGTGTGTTAGAGAGTACTATGGACACAAAATTAAGAAAAACCTGGATTCTTTTTTCAGGGGTTTGAATTAAGGAAAATTCTCCAAAGATTTTCTTTTGAGCTGGTCTTTAAAAATAGGACTAGGTATATAGGAAATGGGGCAAGTCGTTCTAGACAACAGTAAAAGTATCAGTTAAGTCTTAGACTTGTATGATTGATTCATTCTAACTATAGCTCCAGTTTTAAGGGGTAGGGAGAAGCAGGAATAAATACAGTATTCTGTTATTAGTGGCTCATTTAATCTCAGCAGTCTTATGATAGATATTATTTAATAACATAAAACATTATATAATATATAAAATGTTACACACATAAAATTTCTATTCCCGTTTTACAAATATGGAAACTGAATCATGAAGAAGTTGAAGTAACTTGACCACAGTGACCGGCTAGAATGTGGAGGAGCCAGAACCCTGTGGCTCTTCCCTGTTCTTACTATGGCAGTATAAAAACAATCAGTCTGTACCCAATCTGCCTCATTGCCTGGTATGCTGTGTCAGTTGAAATAACTATTTTGATTTCCAGTATGTATGTTCCAAGAAACACTAATTCATCAAATTGCTATTTAAAAAAAAAATGCTTTGGCTTGACAAGTTTGGGGAAATTAGCCAAATGTGCTATCCCTATTTAGAGGTTCATGGTCCTTATTAGAATGTCAACATCTTTGAGAAGTCTTGCTGTAAAAAATTCTGTTTAACTTTATTTAGTCCAGCATTTCTCCCAATGCACATAACCTATTAATATACACATGAAAGAAAGCTATAGTAAATAGTAGAATGTTACTGAATACATTTGGTGAACGATTAACACAACCAGTTCTGTGTTTTAGTAAGCTCATTCTAGTGGCAATATGGAGAATGGTTTGAAGGGAAAGATTAGATTCAGGAAAACCAATTTAGCTTATCCTTTCCCCTCCAGACTGCACTGCCAACCCTCATATATCAGATTTTCATGTATTTCTGATCTGTATACTATTCTTTTAGTCAGTTTGACATCCCTGTGCTAATATCATGCTGTCTTAATTACTGTAGCTTTTATAGCAGTCTTTCTGTCTGTGACTTTATGATATGTTTCCTTATTTGTATTAGCCTTTAATGTCTATTTTAATGCCTGTTAATAGTTTTATAATAAGAGTCTTACATATGTACTATTGAGATGATTATTAATTTTGTCCCTTAATCTTCTCTCATATCTAGAGATTCTTTTTGCAAATATTATTCTCTTGCTGCTTTCTCATAGTTTGATATTCTTTCTTTAAATATATTAAGCGCTTATATCTGTCCTAATAATCCCAGTTTCTACAGTCTCTGTGTCTAATTCTGCTCTTTGAATAACTCGTTCTGACTTGTTTCCATGTGTATTTTGTGATTTTTTTTTAATTGTAAGCACATTTCGTGGAACCATATTTGTTATAATATTTTGGTGATTTATATCTGCTTCATCTAAGCAACAAAAAGCACTACCATAGATCACTCTAAACTAAAATTTTAGATTAAGATTTTTCAGTGCACAGAGGTACTGTAAATTCCAAACGTTAAGTGCATTAGTTGTCTAATGCTGTACAACAAATATCTCAATACTTAGTGGCTTTAAACAGTAATAATACTTTATCTCTCATGGTTTTAGACAGCACAGTTGTCTCTGCCCCACGATATTTAGTACTTCAGCTGTAGTATCCCAAGGCTGGGGACTAGACTCACCTGACTTAGCTAGAGATGTCAGCCAGAACATCCACGTATAGTCCACATATAGTAAATCCACGTAGCTTGGGCTTCCTCAAAACCTAGTGGCTGTGTTTCTGAGAGACAGCCTGTGCTAGGGGTAAGCCATATTGCCTTGGAAATCATGCAGTATCACTTTTCACTGCATTCTATTTGTCAATGCAGTCTCAAGTCACATTCAGGTTCAAGGAGATGAATAGACTTCACCTCTTTATAGGGAGCAGCAAGGTTCTAGAAGTACATGTGGGACTAGAAGTACTGCTGTAGCTATTTTTAGTAAATACAGTGTGCCACACCAAGCAAAGGTCAGTTTATTTAACAATTCGTAGGGGGTGGCATTTCTCTTACTTTCCTTTCTACTAGAACCATGTCTGAGAAAGAGATGTGGCCCCACCATTTCTGTTTAAAGTAGGTTTTTTCTCGTTCTCCCACTGTAGGTATTACCTTTTGAAGGTCTAGTCTTTACAGAGATCTTATTTGTGCCCAAGCTTTGTCTCATACCTGACTTTAGGCCATCAGGCATAGGCTGATACTCAAGGTGCCTGACTTTGGTTCTACCTTAATTGTCCGGATTTGTACTTACCTATTGTTTAAGACCTTCAAAGATAGCCCTTACTTTTTTGATAATTCAGCCATACACTCTAAAACATGGTTGCCTTTTATTTTACATGATCAGGTACTCAATGCTGAGGGTCTCTCCAGCATGATTCTCCATCTGATTCACTATATTCCCTAAAACAACTTATCAGGTTATTTTTAATAATGATTTTTAATCATGAATAATTCTTCAAAGTTTTCCTCATCGAAATATATTTATTTAGATCCAGAGTCAAAGTGTTAGTCTCATCTGACTCTCTTCATTCTAAGGAAATATCTTAGGTATTAACTGTATCCTATTAAGAATGGAATAAATTAGTAATATTTAACAATACAAATTGTTTCTTTAAGGGAGCTATAAAACCAGAACATGACTCAAAGGTTACATGTTTGTGATCCTATTTGTAATTTTATATATAAACACTTAAGTACTTTCCTCTAAAGTTTAGATTGATGGGATTTCCGTATGATCATAGGCGTAGGCATCCAATGACTAACTGAAAACAATGCCTGTTCATAAATGTTGATACCAAAATGGTAAGTTAACTGTTTATAAGAATATTTTGTATTTCTGAGTATGTATTTACTTACCTTTTTTTAATAATTAAACTTAGAATTTATATGCCAGGTGATTGGAAATACTTGTAACAGCTTGTTGCAATGAGCTGCACACTGTTCTAATGCAATACATACTTCTGATTTCATCTGATATAAATATACTTGTCATATATTCAGAAAAAGACACTTTCCCATATGTTTGGCCTTGTTAATGACTATTTGTAAGTCACAGGTCAGAGAAACTAACGAAAAGTATTTTCATTAGTAAAAGTCAATATTAATAATGAAATAATACAGTACATACAAGCATGCATATTCTGAGAATAATGAAATAATACAGTACATACAAGCATGCGTATATTGGTTAATAATAGCATGTGATGGTGTTTCTTAATCTTTATAAAAATTGTTTTACCAATTTTAAAGGCAATTTCTGTTTTACAGTGGTGACTCATAACAAAGATTTTTCCTCAATGCAAATCTAATTTTAAAAATATTTTTACTGTGATAAAATATAAATAACATAAAATTTACCATTTTAGCCATTTTTAAATATTCAATTCAGTGAGTGGCATTCAATACATTCACAATAGTATATAATCATCACCACTATCTACTTCCAGAACTTTGTCATCATCCCAAGCAGAATTCTACCTATTAAGCAATAACTCCCCATTCCTTCCTCTCCCCAACCCCTGGCAACCACTGTTCTACTTTCTGTCTCTGAACATGACTATTCATATAAGAGGAATCATACAATAATTGTCCTTTTATGTCTAACTTATTTTAATTAGCATAATGTTTTCAGAGTTCATGTCATAGCATATATCAGAACTTCATTCCTTTTTAAGCCGAATAATACCTCATTGTGTGTATATACCACATTTTGCTTATCCATTCATCTATTTATGGACACTTGGGTTGTTTCCATTTTTTGGCTTTTGTGAATAATACTGCTATGAATACAGGTATACAAGTATCTATTTGAGTGCATTTTCAATTTTGGAGCATATACACCTAGGAGTAGAATTGCTGAGTTATATAATAGTTCTACATTTAGATTTTTGATGAATCACCAAACTGTTTTCCACAGCAGCTGCACCATTTTATGTTTCCACCAGCAATGCATGAGGGTTCTAATTTCTCCACATCATCACCTATACTTGTGATTTTCCATTTGTTTATTTTTTATTTTTTATTTTTTAACTATAGCCATTCTAGTGAGCGTGAAATGATGTCTCATTGTGGTTTTGCCTTGCATTTCCCTAATGACAAATGATATTGAGCACCTTTTCATGTGCTTATTGGCCATCTATCTTTAGAGAAATATCTATTTGGGTAATTTATCCCTTTTTTAATTCTCGTTTCATTTTTAAATCATGATTTCTCCAACTGGGTTCCTTGGACACTTCCTGGGAAGAGGGTCCAGCTCTTTTTGTTTCAGCTTCCTTTGAGGAAACCAGGCCTTTTGGCTCCAGTAATACTGCTTCCTTTTATCTCTCCAACTTAAGGTTGATAGTTACTTCTTGCTGTTGCTAATATTTGGATCATTTCACTATTCCCTGTTTGGCCCTCAAATCTTCCATCAGTCATGTATCAAATTCTTTTGATTAAATTCATAAACCGATATAAATATTTGATAAGGTTTCTGTTTTCCTAGATAGATCCTAACTGTTACAGAACCTAAACTTCCTCATTTTAGAGTTTAGAAAATGTTGACCTTTTTTTCTTCCAAATACATTTTATAATTAACTTGGTCATGTTCAAGGGAAAAACTTGCTGGTATTGCCGAAACCCAGAAACTTTAGGAATTTCTTCAGATTCATGAAGTTAGTAGAAGGCCAGGTATTGGGACCATAATGCTTTGATTCTCAATCCACTTCTCATTCTAAATTAAAACTTCCAAGGTAGGGAACTGGGTAACTAAAGAAGTTGAGGAGGGTTTGTTTGGTTTGGTTGGTTGGTTGGTTGGTTGGTTGGTTGGTTTGTTAGTTTTGCTATATATAGCTTTGTTCTTTTGATTTTTACATAAATAAATGTCTTACCTATAGAATAAATTAATTTAAAATCTTTAAAATAAAATAAAATATACCTTTATACATGTGGTATATAAATGTAGGTCTTTACAAAGTGACTTTAATTTGTATTAAATACCATGCTTGCTAGTTATTACTGAGTAGTATTAGTTATCACAAAACAGAAGACTTCACTAAGCATACCATTCATACATAACCTTATACACATATACACAATGTAGTTATGTAAGTAAATCTACATTTAATCCCATTTGTTTTGTTTTCTAGAATAATGATCTCCAAACATTTTTTGGCCACATTTTCCTATTGGTAAAATCTTTTGATCATATACTCCCATTATATGTACTGTATATTTATTTATAATTAAGTACATGGACAACTGAACTAATGTGTACATTATAAAACATTAACAAAAGTTGGCATCTATAAAAGACAAGGTAAACAACTTAAGAGAAGTTCTAAGGCTTTTTCTCCTCCCCAACAGATTATCTTGTGCCTCCTAGAGGTGCAACCATCCTACCTGGATGCTGTTTAAGAGTGTTTCAGTTAAGAGCTGCCAAAGAATCTCAGACATTGAATCTGTTGAAGTGCCTACATGTTCACCAACTTAGTGAAAATTAAATATTTCAAGTGATCTCTGACTTCAACTCTCTAATCTATTTTAAATTCTTTAATTTAAATACAAAGCAATAAAACCAGCTCCACAAACATGTTAGCTTCAATTCTAAGCTGTTTCTCACAACCATAATCGGTCTGATTTGCATAGCCTCTGGGTTTAGGAATCGTGTCACTGGTGTAGACTCTTTATCACCAAAGATTAAATAAACGACACAAAATGAGAGAGGGATTTGAGAGGAACCTAAAATATTAATGACTCGCAAAATTGACTAGTTTCTATCTGACTAAATGTTAAAAAAATGTTAACAAAAAATTGTGATGAGGACAATACAAAATTAAGCTGTTGTCTGGAATCTTTTTAAGGTTAGTCCCTTTGTTAGATACAGTATAATGACTGTCTCCCATCTGGGTTTAAACAGTTGAAAACTAGCACTGGAGCAACCCCTGACAAAGTTGAAAGGATTCACGTGGAGTTTTTCTCTGAGTTATCTGGAACAGTAAGTGGAGCCTCTCTTTGTTCAGTGCTTCAGGGGTGCCTACACTGTGCTGGACAGCAGGATGATACAAAGTTGAATGAGACTGTGACTTTTAAGGTCAATGACATTTAGGAATTAATAATTCAATCATGGAGAAAAGTTCATATGAGCAGAATACTAAAAATGATTACTTGCCAGGGAAAATAGGATAAGGCTTCCCAAAGGGAAGGCCATTTGATCTGGACAATGAAGACGAATTATAATTCAAGAAGAGGCGGGAGAAGGTAAAGATAAAGAAATCAAGGAAAGAGAAAATTAACACTGAGTACCGAACTAGGTGGATATATATTATGTAATCCTCAGGAAAGCCTACGAGATGGCCATTATTCCCTCTTTACTGTGGCTCAAGCAAGTTAAATAACTAGCCCAAATCGTACATGCTGTAGTTTAATTAAGGAGTGCATTAGCTAGACAATTGCTCATAAGTGCAATTAAGTGGTACCAAAATTTCACTCTATATTATTCGTAAGGATACAGAAGAGTTGTATTTACCAGAACTATTCTTAGGAAATATATATGTTGGGGAAATAAAGAAAATGTAAACTATTTGGGGTACTGATGTGGTCAAGGTCCCCTAAAGGCATGCTGGGATAATTGGTTGCTAAACTCTTCAAAGAAGAATATTTTCTTGAATATTTTCTGCACAATTTCCTATAATACTGAGGAACTTCTTCTTTAAATAAAATTTTAGCAGATATTTAAGGACTATCAATTTAAAGGGGCTCAAATTAATGATGTGCTCAGGTACCCACATTTGTTCTGAGTGGTTATAGAAAGGTTAATCCTAAATCTGCTTAACTCCAAAGCCAGTGCTCTTGGCAATGTACAATGCTGCCTGTAGCATGCAACTAAAATGCAGACAGGCAGACAGATGGACAGAGAGATATAGAGATGGGGAAGAATTAAATGATGATTCTAAAGATTGTGCTGCTAGTAGTCTTCTTACAAGTATCTGACTGTGACCTTATTTTATGTTGTATTTTCTTCAACTTTTTATCATAACCACAGATTTTTTAGGTAGTGTAAATCCTTTAGGGAACAAGATAAAGTAAGAATGAGTAAACTGATAGCTTTCATTGTTAAATCTTCCACTGTATATTTGTTATCCTTAGGAAATTACTACAATCAAGGGGAGATTCGTAAGAGAGAACTTTTGCAGAGCTGTGATGTTTTGGGGATTCCACCCTCCAGTGTAATGATTATTGACAACAGGTAATTCTTCTGTATTAATGATTTGATTAAGAACACACCTAGTGTTTTACCATTAACTGTGTTGGCTGCTGGTTATGAAAGATATTCTTTATCATGTTAACCATTGCCGTTGGGAATTTATGTTCATTGTGTTAGACTGGGGGTGGTGAACTCCTGTTCATTTCACTGCCCTACAAAGAGTTAAGGAGAAAGTTTCAATTTATTCTCAGTTTTACATGGCTCAGGATAAACTATTGGGATCATGATGGAGGAATTTCTTCTCTATGCCAGGGAGTTTTGTAATGCTTTAAAAAGCACAAATCAAGAGCCAGACTGCCCAGACTAAAACCTCAGTTTTATCGGGTTATTAACTGTGTCACCTAGGCAAGTTACTTAATCTGTGTTCCTAAACTTCCTCCTCTGTCCCTTAAATGATAGATAGTTTTTAGTCAATTTGTGAAATAAATCATTTGCTCATTTGTTATCAAAGATGATGTACTTCTCTTTTATTCTGTGGTTATATGTTGTGATTTGTTTTCTCACTATTCATTTAAGAATAATAATGGGCTTCTCTGCTCAGGCACGCCATTTGCACAGAGACTTCTGCCTGTGCAGTGTCTGCTTTGGCCCAGCAAAGCAAGATGTTTTTTTCAGAGCCAGATCTAAATTGTGAGAACTATAGTCAAACCAAAGATCTTGGCTCAGTTATCAAGATCTTTACTCTCATCATGTCCTAATTTATTACATTTGTTATATATCTTGAAGATCATGCAGCTTCAGCAACATCTTCTACTTGTGAAATGCTACTGTAGAGGGGTAGTAAACTTGTTAAGAATAAATATTTCAGAAAGCCAGTTTAAAGGTGCAAGGAAATCATGTATGTTAGTCTGCTCAGGCTACCGCCATAGACTGGGTGGCGTAACTAACAGAAGATTCATTTTCTCACAGTTCTGTTGGCTGGAAGTCCCAGGTCAAGGTCCAGCAGGGTCAATTTCCAGAGAAGATTTGCTTCTTGATTTGCTTCTTGACTTGCAGATGGCTGTCTTCTTGCTGTATGCTCACATACAGGGTAGAGAGATAAATTTCTCTTTTCTTATAAGGCCATTAGTCCTAAGGATTAGTGTCCCACCATTATGACCTCACAAACCTAATTACTTTCTAAAGACCCTGTCTCTAATTTTGGGGGTTAGGGCTTCGACACATGGATTTTGGGAGGATGCAATTCAGTCCTTAGTATCATACAACCTTTAGTCTTTCAGCCTTTCACTTCATAACCCAGAAATAGCAGAGTCTTGGAATCTTTAGGTTATTTAGATGAGTCAAAGAGAAGAATGAAGAGTAGGAAGAGAAAGGAAAGTTTTATGGAGGGCCTACACTCATAATAATAAGAGTACATATGTATTAAAACATTATTGTCAGTGCCCAAAACCATACTAAATATAGGATCTTACTTAATCCTCAAAACAATCCAATTATTTTTCTCATGTAATAGATAAGAAACTGAGGCATAGTTAGAGGTTGAGTAATTTGCCCAGTGTCATCTGGCTCCAGAGCCTATGCTTCAACCACTAAATTTTTTGCTTACTCCATGCCTGACACATACTTTCACAAAAGTTATCTCATTTAATTCTTCGACTAACTGTGCCAGATAGGTTTTATTATCCCTTTTGGTTCATATGAAGAGACTAGAGCTCAAAAAGATTGAGAGAATCTCTGAGGTCACACATTTAATAAATGGCAGTGCTAGGATTAAAAAAACAGAAAGGAAGACAGAATTGATTCCTGGCTTTCTGCAGGAAAGTAGGTCAGTACTTTGTTATTGTACTTGAAAGACAAATATGTGTTTAGGAGTACATTTAATTGATACTGTATATGGTCAATTTTTTTCTTCCATTGTTTTGAATTTCATTGCTGGATTTCAGGGAAACATTTAGCCAGAGGAGTTCACCCAAGTAAACCCCTTACCTAATCACTTAAAGAGGGGAAAAGTTTCAGTTCTCAAGAAAAGAAGGCATAATTTCAGTCATTAGACAACTAATTGGATACTTTTAGCAACTCCACCCAGTACCTTAATACCCATGGGTTCTGTTAATTTAATGAGTTGTATGATATTAAAAATGCATGTTGTTAACAGATAGATATTAAATGCCTGGAATGGGCCATGCACAGTGCTAGATTTTGAAGAAAGAGAACAGTTCGAGATATAGGAGCTGAATTAAAGGTGCTGGCATGACAGTCATCATTGCTGCATTCGTGGAAAGCTGTTTCATTGTGCATATGCTAAAGTTCAAGACCAGAAGGGAGATTAGAGACTCTCCCTGGGATCCTTGGGAATTGTATGCTATTGGAAAATGAAGCCTGTGGATTTAGTATACATTCGTTGCTTTTGCACCTCTTAATATATTAGGAAGAGTCCATAGAATTGTTTCATTTATATTTCAAAACAAAAGAAAACAAAAAGCACACACATATTGCTAAATGAATAGATAATTTCTAAAAGGATACATACCAGGCTAATTAATAGTAGCTGTGACTTAACTGAGGCTAGGAAGAGGGACACTTGCACTTTTTAATTTCACAGAATTCTCTACAGTTTGATTTTTTTAGGAAGCCTTTATTACTTTTTAAATTATATATGTATATATATTTTTAAAAGACTACCCCATATATCTAATAAAACATTCTTCTCTTCTATGCATACAAGTGAACGATAATTAAAAAATAAATCTATCCATATCTCAGCTTCTATCCATACAAGTGAATGATAATTAGAAATAAATCTGGGTACATTTTTATAATACTTGATTTGATAAATTCAAAACATAGAGTTCCTTGAAAAAACAATAATGTTTTTAAGCCTTTTTATAAACACTGTGGTCTTCTCATGGGCCTCTTTCTGGAGGATGAGTAGGAAGAGGATCAAATATACTGCTCCAAAGTGCTCTGACTGGAAATGGCGGAGATTCAAGAGAGGCCTGATTATGATGGAATAAAACAAACCAGATCCCCCGTTATAACCCATGACAATTGAAGTGCTTTGAGGCCTAATGACCTATTTCGCAAAACTTGCAAGGTCCCAAAGCTACGTATGGTCTGGTTCCTGTTTCCCTGCCCAGCCTCATCACCCAGCACTTGGTTATACCCACATCACATCCATTCCCATAACAAAAATAGATAAGACTGCCTAGTACCCCAATCTGTGTCTCCTCTGCATCTCCGTCTCCTATTTAAGTTGGGCCTCAAAAACATACCATGCTTTTCTTAGGCATGCACACCTTTGCATGTGCTAGTCCCTTCCTCTTGCATGCTTTCTCACTTTCCAACACCCCTTACCGTGTCCCTCTAGCAAACTCCTATTCATTCTCAAACCTCAGTTCAAGGATTACCTTAGCTTCTGTGGAACCATCCCTGATTTGCCCAGAATTTCTTGGACACATTTGTTATATTCTCATTGTCCTCTTTTAACCTAGCATGCATGCTAATTTTTCACTCTACACCATAAGCCCCCCTGTATCTTTTATCCCCAACCTCTATCATCACCTTTCATACACAGTAGTTGCTCAGTACATGTTTATTGAGTAAATGAATGACTCCACTTATACCATAAGCTTTCTTCCTGTGGCTAGAATGTAAATGTGTGGTCTCAAAAAACCTGATACCTATGGATCTCAACCTCCTTTCCTCACTTTTTCTTTACCCAGAAATGGTGATTAGCAAACCAGTTTCTGAGACTTAAGTAAAATTGTTTTCACATTCTTTAATTAAATAAAACAGTCTGGATCCCTGACTACTATAGTTATATTTAACTCTCTGGAAATTTCTAAATGAATACTTTGATTTGGAAGGGCTCTTTACAACTCTTTATTTTTCCATTTTATAGATTTGGCTCCATTGTCCTAAGATTTCAACACAATAAAAATTTCATTTGCCCAGTACTTAACATAAGTTTGGTGTTAAGCCTGAAACTTTTACAGACTAATTTTAGCTGAATGAGGAAATAGAATCCAGTACCTACTAGGAAACATATAAATGAGTCTAGCTGTTAGCAGTTCCTGGAAGTCTTTGTGTTTTCCAACAAATTCTTGCAAATTTTACAGTGAAAGAGAAGGCACAAAATAAAGTCTGAGACTGTTGGGGTCATGTTGATAATTAAACACCCACTCCTTTTGAAGCCCAGTAAGAGCCTTCCCCCTACAAAGACTAAAAAAAGACCAAATGCTGGCTGCTAAAGTGGATCCGACCAAGCATCCTCTCACTGTAAGAGGTGAAAGTAAAGCCGCCTGTCATCCTTTTCTCCAAATACACAAAGAAATGACCGGGCTGAGGCTCAAGGGCACAGTTCCAGTCCCATTTGGCAAAAACAAGGCAGAGTTCCCATGTTCCCACAAGGCACAAAGGACAAGAATGCTTCCTAGAAAAGAAACCAGGGAAGGAGACTGAAGTGGACCTAGCCGATGTGGAGCTATCAGGTGAAAACTAAAAGCTGCTTCAGTACTACTTTAAAAGTGGATTATTCAGAGAACTGAAGGGAGGCTGGACCTTTAAGTAACATGACTGTGGGAATTGGTGCAAAAGAAGTAAACTGGGGCCAGGGAGGGGTGGCCTTAACAAAGCATGCATTTGTGACTGGTACTACTCCTTGAAAGAGGTTGTAAATACCACAAAAAAATAGGATTCAAAGTGACTATGTATTGTGATATTCATTATAGCACTATTTATATAATAGCAAAAAATTGGTAGCAAATTAAATGTATCAGTAGAAAATTAATTACATAGCCATGGTCCAGAACTTTGAACCCACAATTCATGGTTTTCTATGCATGTTTAATAACCCAGGAAGATGTTCATAATATAATATGGACTTTTTTAAAGCATTATATACTTTCTTTACATTTTTCTGTATTTTTCATGGTTTTAAGAATAACCATTTATAGTTGTAAAACAAAAGTTTTATTAGCTTTATTTTAAAGTATATTCTAAGTATATCATCTTCAGAATTTAAAATTTAAAAAAACAAAAAA